GTTTTTTAGTCTGTAGTCATTAATTTTGACTCTTTTTGAGTCTTTTCAGTAAAAAATTTTTTTTTGTTCCTAATTATTCATTTTTTGTTCCTAAAATAGCTTGCCCCCCCCCTCACTTAAATCCTGTATCCGCCCCTGTGAATACAAGGTAAGTGCCCGTAATGCTCATGATAACGAAAAATTGAAATTTTTGTACAATGTGGTGTATGAATACGAAAATAAGGAAAAGATGTGAATTAGTTTTTGTAAAAAACAATACTTTCATAGCTGCAGTATTTTATTCATGAACAATAATCAAATTATTATTATTTTCATGGTTCAAAATTTTGGTTACTTTCATTGATAAAATTTGTCATGATGAATATGTTTTGAGAAAACGCTGAAAAGGCGCCACTCATGGACTGGGGGTGCGTGCGTCTCAGTCAATTACTGATGACATCTTTAGACATGTATATTGTATACATTTCTCTTGTTTTTCTGTCTGCTTGTTCCTTACCAGGGGCGGATACAGGGGGGGGGGCATTCGTCCCCCCTGAATTTGGAATTTTTTGTTCCTATTTTCAGAATAGCTTCTCAATAGCATGCTTAAGGGAAAGAAACCCTAGTGTAAAACAGGAAAAAATATCTGTCTTAATAAACTATAATTGCGTGAAAAGTTAAAAATCTAGTTTTTTAGTCTTTAGTCATTAATTTTGACTCTTTTTGAGTCTTTGAAGTCAAAAAAAATTTTCGCCTGCGCCGCGATTTTTTGTTCCTAATTATGAATTTTTTGTTCTTAAAAAATCTTGCCCCCCCCCTCACTTGAATCCTGTATCCGCCCCTGTTCCTTTATACCTATCTACTCCGGCGTATCTTAAATTTGTGTGCAAAAAAACCGGAGTGATTAATGTGATTCATTCATTTCCAGAAATTGTTTCACAAATTTGACGAAATAGTTCGAAATAACGAAATAAGTAGAAAAAACGAAAAAGCCGGAAAAACAAAACAAACAATAACCAAGATTTTCTTCAGAATCTTCGCGAAATAGCTTTATGTGCATCGATAATGCGAAATTATATCAACGTGCAATTATTACACAAAACTTTTTTTGCCATTGTTTCAATATAAATATCGCTAAAGATTTGTAATTTCTTTTGAAAACAGAATGATATCTAAAATGTATTATAATTACTTCAAATTAGGGTTTCCACGAAATGGCTAAATCTTTTGCGCAAAATTTGCGCTATTTTCGCGCAAATTTTTTTTTTGCGAACTTTTGCGCATGAAACGCAATGAGTTTAGCGCGGTTTTGCGCTATTTTTTTGCGCAATTTGCGCAAAACCGGAAATATTAACGAAATGACTTTTGCGAATGATTGCGCAAATTGTTGTTTTTTTTTTCGCGCAAAACTGATGCGCAAAGAAAGAAAAATTTTGCGTTTCGTTCCGCAAAAATTGCGCAAAAGTTTTGCGAATGGAAACCCTACTTCAAATTAAATTTCCTCAGAAGCATTTCTCAATAAAAGATAGAGAAAATTGACTTTCGTATGTCTTTAGAAAATCTTTGTGCAATTATATTATATGGTGGTATTATTTTCTTAATTTGCAAAATTTAATATAATTAAGTTGTCTACAATCCCAGCTTTGTTTAAAAATGCGCCCAAAATAAAAAACCATAATTATTGCCATGGTCGAGGGGTGAGGGGGCAAAAATGCTGAGTTGTGCCACTGACCCCCCCTGCCTGATGAAAAGTTTCTAAAGAGCCCCTTTAGGACGCGGAGATGCAGATCTTAAAAAAGAAACTCTAAGGCGTACTCGCAAGGAAAGGCCCCATACCACCGTGGATCATTTAAATCTATAAAAGTTTCTATGAAGGGGGTTTTCAGACCCCAATGAGTGCTGAAAGTCCCCCCCCCCAAAAAAAAAATATTGGAATTGGACAAATTCCTGAGTATGGCCCTGAATGAACATCTTTTACCCCTTTAACTTGTGACATATTTGTCCACAAGCACTGCATACGTATACAAAGGTTATTGTAAACAATACACTAATCCAGCGTACACATGTGCGTTCGTCAAATCCATCCAGGACCAGTTTCTCAGACTCACTCTTAGTCAGTCTTAGTCAGTCGGCGGTCCATACTCCTTACTCCTGAAACCTTAGTCGTGTCCTAGACAAGAGATTAGATAGTTCACATGATCATTGATCACATCTCATGCGCGGATTGACAACAAGACTCGGAACGGATTGAGCCGAGTGAAAACTAGAATTCATTAAATTCGGACTCATGTCCATGTACTAAAATAAAAAAGGGGGGAAGGGGGGGGCTTAAGCGTTCAGAAAAACAGCCTCAGAAGCATATTTAAGACAGACCTCTGCTTCGATTAATTGAATTTTCTTTAAATGGACTCTTCTTATTTGTTTCCCAAGTTTTCACAATCATCATTGATAGCGCTTGGTAAAAAATTGTTTATTATTATAATTATAAGCAAACCTAGTTCAGTTTCCCAGTATTCAAGGTATGCATTACGTACTTGAGTAGTGCAGGTTTATTATTGGTCGAGATGAGTACAGGAGCTTTTAAGTACATGAAGAGAGCGGTACAGGACATTTGACATTTGTTCACGGCTGCAATAGGTCTAGTATATTGCTAAGATATGACTATGAGTATTGAAGAGTATTCATTACTATTCTTTATTTTAGTTCTTATAGCTTTAAAAAATACAGATTGGTTTGTTTCGACAGTTTATAGCTGTTAAACCACTTTTATTAAAAATATTGAATAAATTATTTCCTTTATTGACTTGAGCTACCTTTTATTTTAGATTCTTTAATATTCAGATATGAGATATTTGAAAGGTTAGAGAACATGCATCTTGTTTATCTCAGCCAAAAAGTATCATATTTCAGATGCTACAGGAACTAAAATTCTAAACAAGTTTGCAAGATTTGGAATTCTTATTCATTCACATTTTCTTTTCTCATCCCAAAGGAAATTATTTTATGCCATTAACTGTCCCATTTTTATACCCCCCCCCCATTAAAAAAAAAAATTCAGTTAATCTTGAAGAAATAATCATGACCTGGATCCCCATCAGAACTAAATGAATCCATAGCACTCCTCACAAATCCCCCCCACCACCACCAACACTAAATACTAAACATTATTATTATATAAATCTTTTCATTGGATCTAAGCGATGAATAACAATATTAAATCAGTAGCAAAATCACAGGGTTTCGCAAAGATTAAATTATTTATTTATCAGAAATAATAGTATATGTGTTTTGATGAAAAAATAGACTCATTTAGAATTTTAAACTTCATAAAAATGATAAAATATTTGGTTGAGTTTTAGCAAAAACGTTTTAACAAAACCAAAATCAAATCAAAATCAGATGGTCCGGAAAACACTTGAACATACTAAAAGATCCCTGAAAGATAAAATTGAAGAAAACTTTAATCAAAGTGATTTAAATTTAAGATTTGAATTTAAGATTTATGAGAAAAAATGCGCACACATTGTGTAACAGTCCATGTACAAGCAATCTTATTTTCTTTGGTTAATATTCTAAGCTTATTTTTTCATGTTTAAGTAAAATTAATATACAATATGAGCTTTTAAATATAGAGTTGGTTTTTTCGCTATGTATTTGTTGAACAATTGCAGTTAAGGTTAACAATCTGAAATGATTGAATACTTTCTGATATAGTTTTTTAATTTCAGATTTGACAGCTTCTTATTCCAAGGGTAGAAAAATGCTCTAAGCGTAAAATAAGCAGGAGTCCAAAACAAAATGGCGTCTCAACCTGACAAGTGCGCATTTTGCGACAACCCGTAAGTGTTACATATAAATGCCATTTTAATGTTAAATTACTGTGAACAAATTATGGCCTTTGTTAGATCACTAAATTTGAGAACTTATTAGTCTTTATAAAAAAAACCGTCTTAATTCTCAATTTGTTGATGATCGGTTTCCTTAAATTTTAGTTAGTTTCCTTATATTTTTTATCCGTTTCCGCTTCTTTCAAAAACTGTTCTCAAAACGATCGCTTTCCGAAGTGTCTATTTTGGAAATCTCTTTACTTTCAAAACTTAACCATCTATTTCTAAATGATCGGTTTGTAATTTTTAAAACGGAAAACGATTGAAAAAATTGTTTTGAGAAAACCTAAAACGATTTTCAAATTAAAAACGGAAAACGAATAAAAAATAGTTGCGTTTTAAAACGAAAACCTAAAAAAATCGTTCAACGTTTCAAAACAAAAAAACTGGTTAAACTGAGAACTGAAAGAATAGATATTTAAACGAAAAACGATCGTTTTGAAACGGATCAAAAATATGACGAAACTATCCGAAAAGTCGAGGAAATCAATCAACTGCGATTTTAAAAGATTTAGAAAAAAGCGTAAACGGATAAAAAATATCGGATGAAATCGTGGAAATGAACCAGAAAGTTGGTAATTTCATCGTTTTTTTTTACCGTTTTCCGTGTTGTTCGGTTTCTATGTCACTTATTTAGTTTCCTACTTATTTTATCTTGTCACAAATTTATTTTAGACCCTGGAGTCATAAAGAAACAATTTGCCTCCCATTGGTTGGTTCTTTTTTGGATCGTTTTTGCCCTACATTTTCTTTCTGGATTCATGTTTGGAAGAGTGTAAGAAATTTTGACGCTGACAGAAGATATTTGCAGAAAGCGAACCGAAAACAAACATGTTAAAAGGATCGTTTTTGAAGCTTTAAACAATTTTTTTTCAGGATAAAAAGATTATAAGAACCTTTTAGTATAAATGGTTTCGAAATCCTGAAAGATTTAAAAAAAACGATCCAAAACAACATTTAATGTATTAAGCAAAGTGCACAAAAACTTCGCTATGGAGAAGCACTATGTCAGTCTTCCTAGATGTGAAAATAACAATGCATAGGATTCGATTCGATGGATTTTATTATTTTTTCTTTTTTTTAGGTGCACATCACGTAGCTGGCAATGTAATATCTGTCTGGTAACTGTTTGTTCAAATAAATGCGCTGAGGTATTTTTATTAAAACAAGGAAATCATGTAATTCGTAAATCACAGCAAACCAAAATGTGCAGGCTATCATCTTCCAGCAATTTGCCAATCACTCTTGTAAAACTAAAGTTAAAAACAAGCACTTTGCACTAGTGATTTATTCAGATAAAATAAAAAACCAAGGCGCGACACTTTAGTTATCCTACTAACCCTAAATCTAAAAATACTAAAGCCTTCTTATTGAGGTATTCGTATTTTTTAGGTATATTTACGTAAAAATTCGTATGCTCATCATTTTGGTGAAGAACTTGCGTAAATTTACGTATTTTTTACGCATTTATCATACCAAGCGATTTTTTTTAAGTGCTTAGGTTTTTCTAAGATGTATTTTTACGTTAGAGTATAAGTTTGATGCAAACCTTAAAAAATACGTATATTTTCGAAAATTTCATACCAAATGATTTTTAAAAAACTTAAGTTCTTATTTTGCGTATTTTTTTTTACTGAAAAAAGTGTATTTTTAAAGTTAAAAGTTTAATGCAAACCTTAAAAATACGTATATTTTCGTCAATTTCATACCAAGTAATTATTCCAAGTTTTTACGTTTTTAATTTTCAAAATTTTTATGTATTTTTCGGTTTTTTTCTTAACTTATAAAATTGTATTTTTTTAGAGTTGAAAAGTTTGATGCCAACTAATTTTTTTAAGTGTCACTGTATTCACGAAATCTCAATTGCACAAAAAATGGATTTTTAAGTTAGAATTTAAAAATATTTTATGATTTTTCAATGGAATTGTTGTGTATTAATTTTAATGCAAACATTTTGGTAATTACAATATTTCAAAATTTCTATTATTTTGGAGTAAATTGATGTTATCATTAGAATCAATGTCAGTAAATTCCCGATTTTTTGATAAACAGAAGTTCTACTTTGACAGTCTTAGAACAGGTTTAATGGTTAGTGTATGAAGTATAACAGAGTTTGAATACGTAATTGTTGAAGATACAGACAAAATGCTTATATAAATGTTGATTTAGATGGATGCAGATGAAGGAATGATGATGGTGTGAATTTGTGTAGAAGAATATTGGATTGGATTGAAATAATAGATATCTATGAAGGGATTTAACAAATTTGTGGAAATAGTTGTATAGATATGAAGGAAAAATGTGCATGCAAAATTATAGTCAGCTTCTTAACATTTGGGATTTAGGCCTTGAAAATGCTGAAAATGCCTTAAAAGTTCGTATTTTTACGTATAGGTAAAACCTATTAATTCCAAAAATTAAGAAATGTTAAGATTTTTCTAACCTAAATCTACGTATATGAAAAACCTGAAAGTTCCTGATTCATTGTTTTTAAAAAGTTTTTTTTACATACGTATTTTTTAGTTTGTCATATACATATTTTTACGGATATAAAATACGTATTTTAACCAAGGAAATGGTTACGAAAATACGTTTGGCTTATTTATGGAAAATACGTATTTTTAAGTATTCCAAACCTAAAAATACGTATACATACGATACGTATTTTTAGGTTTTCCTTTTAGCAGGGTACCCAATTTTTTTGTAATTGATTTAATATTTTATAGCTGTCTGTATCTCTTTAAATCGGTTTAATGTTGAAATTTGTTGGTCCGTCCTTTTAAATATTAATGATTTCGAAAGTTTTCTGACCATAAGGAAGCTAGGTTACATATTCGCCATCTCCAGACCAATCTAAGATTTACCGTTCAAATTTTTAGATTAGGATTTGAGACTACCATAACGTGTTAGCATTTATTTATTATATAATATATAGTATACTGCTACATTTTTTATATCATCTACGTACCACATTATCTGCATATTTATTAACTGCACTTTTCTAAGAATTTAAGACTTTTTTATTATGGCTCAATGCTGAACTTCGGATCAAATCCAAGATAATTCTTACAGTTTTAAGGATGACTCTTAATAAATTGCAATATTAAATAATACTTTTTTACAGCGAGTTCAGTTTGCGCACGAGTTCAATTGCCGCGGCTCTTTCAAGATGGACATGAAGAATAAAACGTAAGTTAAAATTCAAAATATCAAAATACAGGGTTACTCACAAACAGTTCTTAGGATGCAAAAATATGCGGATCCGGATCCAAGGGGCAAAATATCTATCAAACTGCATAAAAAAAACTTTATTGATGTACAAAACCCAAATCTTAATGTTTGTAAAAAGAGAGATTTTTGAGCTAGCATAAAAATAAGCGAAAAATGGAAGAAAAATAATTTGACAATTCTTTCTTAAAAAAAAAAATTCAGTTAATCTTGAAGAAATAATCATGACCTGGATCCCCATCAGAACTAAATGAATCCATAGCACTCCTCACAAATGATGAGACTGTAAAGTAAAATATGATAAAATTAAGCCTTCTCCTTGAATTTAGTTTTCTAATGGCTTATTTAATGCATAGAAAATAAAGTAACAAGTTTGCAGTCATGAATCATGAATATAAGGAAACAGAAATTAGAAATCCTCTCAAGTTTAATTCTGTATCACAAATATAAAAATGAATTGGTATATAAATCTTTAAATAAAAAATATTAGTTAAAAATCTTAATTCTAATCTGGGAAAAGACATTTGGAAGTAATTTTATTTACTGACTTTGTTCCTTGAAATTATTTACCTGATGCATACTAAGTTTAAATCAAATGTTAATAGGAAGTTCAAACTAAATTATCAATGAATTCTTTTTTAATTTTTTATTAGAAGTGAGACTAAGCAGGGGAAGGGACTATCTAAAGTAACCTGCAGGTAAACTAATATATTCTGTTAACTCATGTTTGATCACATTCTGGTCACATTTTGCCCCCCCCCCCCTTTTTTTTTAAATTGGAAACTGTTGATTACTATTTTTTTCCTTTTTTATCCACTCCAAATTTCACTTCACCCCCCCCCAGCCCCCACCCATCCCCCTTATTTTTGTTCTTGTTGGTTGATGAATCCTGAGATTTGTTGGTCTACATCTTATCTAGCTTACCTTAACTGTCAAATATGAATAATGTAGATGTAGACCTGAGAAGAAATTTATTTTAAGAATAAAATGTAATTATTTAAACAAGTAAACCTCAAAATGCCATAGTATGGACTTAGAAAGTATTTCATTTTATTGATCTGATTCTGTACTCAATGAAAAATATAAAAAAAAATTAAGAAATATTTTTATGGATTTGTACTCACTGAAAAATCAAAAATTTGTCTTACATTTTTATTGATCTGTACTTGATACAAGATGCAGGGGAGTATCTTTAAAGATTTGGGGAAATGAATGAAAAATTAACGTGAAGAGGCAAATTTTATTTATTTTCTCACCACATTTTTACCTCTCAATTATGCAAAAAAAATTATTCTCGGTCCGCGCAAACTGAAAAAAAAATGATTTTCATTATGAAGGGGTAGGGGGTTATTTTTCAATAAAATATACACTCCTATAATATAAATGCCATTTACTTGAAAGCAGCCAACATATTATTTAACATTATTTTTATTTTTAAAGATTTTTCGGAATGGGCACATGTAGGAAGGGAGACCAATGTGTTTTCCTCCATGCTAAAGACAAGGTAAATTAAAATAAGATCCCTCCAATAGTTTCATAATTATTATTGACCCCTCCTCCCCATCCTAACATTTTTAGGCATCTTGCGTCATTATATTCTTCCAGTTCAGGCTAGGTTAAGAAATACAAATTGTCATGCGAGGTTGCGACCAAAATATCAGGGGGGGGGGGTTGAAGGCAACTATTAACTTACTAATTACCAAGGAGTAAGATATACGAGCTGGAAACTTTATTGCTGGAAATTCATACTCCTGATACCTTAATCTCGATATCCACAGTAGGCACTTCAGGTTACACAACTACACTACGGGATATCAAATAGAGATTTAATATGCAGCTTAAAAAAGGCTATTCACAATACAAGAATTCCCAGCTCTGAGGAGAGTGCAGAAGGTTTTAAATACACTACTGTGACATTTTAGGACTAATTTCGTTTTCGTTTTCAACGATTCTAGCTGTACTTTGCTGATACTTACACTGCCACAGTAAATTTCTCCCCCCCCCTTCCATCCCTCTGGTCCTATTACTTCGCTGTAGTAAACACGAATTAAGCGAATTTTGTTTTGAACTTGACATAAGCTGAATTGTTGAACTTGACATAAGCTGAATTGTTGAACTTGACATAAGCTGAATTGTTGAACTTGACATAAGCTGGCGAATGGAGTAATATCCTTTTTATCAGAATTGTTGAGCATTTCTCCATACATAAGAAAAGGATTTTGATTAATTAAAAAATCGCATTAATATTATCACTCAATGCTATTTTTGCAGTTTGTTTGCGAATATTATCTGGATGGCTTTTGCAAATTCGGGAAAAAGTGCACAAATCTGCATCCAGGAGAAAAGGTAATTAAGTCCCTAGAGTCTGTGATATGTGAGATGAGATCTGTACGTTAGAAAGAATATTGGAAACCTGATTTAGAAGATTTGATCTTCCTATAATATTCTATTTAAATAGAAATATTATTTTACATGCAATCATAATTTTGTTTCCATATCTCTCTTTAATCGAAAACTTTTATTTTTCAGGATAGTGTCCAGGGTTCACCCAGACCTGGAAAAATTAAGGTTAGCATTATTTTTATTTTAAAAATTGAGGAACACGGTTGGTATGTTCAGGACATCTTTCTGGATTAAGAAAATTCAGGCCTGAAGTGTCAATATTCTGAATTATTTTAATAGTTTTATAATTAAGAATGTTGTGCAGGGAGAGACTCCAATCTGTATCCAGTTTCAAAAAGGTATACATATACTTTATTATAAATAGATTTTTGTTAGTTTCAAACTTCCAAAACATGCCTGTGAAATAATTTGTTTGTTAAGGAGAGTGTAAATATGGAAACAAATGCAATTACAGACACTTTTTCCCTTCTGAGTCGATGCCCCCACGTTTGCATAAGAAAACCCTACTTGAACCCGCTACTAAACCCGCTGGTCAATCTCCTAAGTCCCCTATCCGACCTGCCAAACCTCATGTGAAAAAGAAGCCTGAAGTGGAGGAGGTCAAGTATGTGGCAATTTGTAAGTTCTTCAACAGAGGCGCATGCGCGTATGGTGACAAGTGCAACAAGGCGCACGAGAAGCTGCCGTTGTATAAGAAGGATTTAACCACGGAGATGATCATGAAGAAGGTTGTAACGGTGGTAGAAGAGAAGGGGGATACAGATGCTAAATGCAAATCAGATTCTCAATCATCTGGTAAGACATCATTACTTATTTATGAGTTTATCCAGAGATTTTGTGTCATGCGATAAGACTTAACTTTGTGGCAGTTAATATTGGGTAAGATACTCTTTGTGGTATATTTTATAGATTAAATTTAGATTGACCACTGACTTCATAGTTACATAGTTACATAGTTGGAAGACAACATTAGAATTTGAACTGTTTTTTTGGGGGTTTCAATAACAGATGTATATATTGTATAGACCACTTTGTATTATTTTTATTGTTTATTTTTCCAAATATACATTTCCAAACGTCAATGTTTTAGGATACAGTAAGTTATGGTCTAAATTATGGGGAAAAAGTTTGTCCTTTTTGAGAAAATTACTGTAAGACAGTGGGAGAGTACATTTTTGTTCAGATGAGTATGAAGGTTACTACGAGGATGAAGAGGATTATGAGCAAGGACAGGATGAAGATGAGAAGGATGAGGTGGAGGAAGATGAGATATTTATGTCGGATTCTGAATATTCTGACGAGGGGAGTGATGAAGGAATTTCGAACAAGGTAGTGAATTTTTTCCCCTTCCTCAAGCCAAGCAAACTTTTTAAACGAAAATTGAAAATACAAAATAATTGAACAGTGACCGGCTGTTACAAGCTTTATAATGTACTTTAATTTAATCTGTTATTTTATGATAGCTTTTTATTCTGAAATATTTTAAAATATGTCTATTTTTAGAATTCCGGAAATGTGTCACAGACTTTTATAAGTCAAGATCAGCAGTTATCAAACATTAAGATACCAGTTTCAACTTTTAATAACACAGCTTCGATACCTGCAATTAAGAAGAACCCTCCTGCATCACCTGTTATTAATAAGAACTCTCCTGTAGCTCCTGTAATCATAAAGAACCCTGTTGTACCTCCTGTAATCATAAAGACCCCTGCTGTATCGTCTGTAATCACTAAAAATCCCCCAAACCCTGTAATCAAAAAGAACCACACCAAAGAAACGTACAATATTCCAACCCCGCCGGTAAAATCTCCGAAAACGAATTCCAAAAATAATAATTCCTCCGCTAACTTGGACTCAAACCGGAACCCTAAACCGAGCAAGCTGAATATAAATCATCTTAATCCATTTGAGGTTCTGAAACCCGAGTCGGAGGATTCAGAAGAATCTGATTCCGACCTTGAGGATAAGAATGATTTAAAGGGCAAGGGTTCTTTTGTAAATGATGAAGGTTCCCATAAAGCTAACAATGTTTGCAAAAGGGAAAAGAAAGAAAAGCTGAAATTGCAGAAAATGATGACCACCAAGATCATAGTTGATAATCTAAGGTAAAGCCTTGATTTTGAATTGAAATTGAATTTCCATTCATTGAATTTTCGTCTGGGAATATTTAGCTTAGAAAAGTGAAGTATCGTTAATCTTGAAAGCTTGAGCTCAATGTCCATGTCCAATAAAGACAGTTTTGAATTTTTGGATAATTGCTTGATCCTTCAATTAAAGCCATTCATGCAGTGGTCTATTATTTTGTATTCAGAAACTAAGTTTAAGAAATTTTAAACTATTTTAAAATCTTCATATCAACTAATTTTCAGCCAATCTTAAATCTTAAAGGGAGTCCCCATGGGTCGGAATTATTCGATGCAATATCGAGAAACTATCGCATGTAAAAAATATCCGGTTTAATAGTAAATCTTGTGGATTATTTAAGATTATTGTTTTCGGGTAAAATATAACCGGTTTTATAGTAAATCTTGTGGATTATTTAAGATTATTGTTTTCGGGTAAAATATAACCGGTTTATAGTAAATCTTGTGGATTATTTAAGATTATTGTTTCCGGGTAAAATATAACCGGTTTTATAGTAAATCTTGTGGATTATTTAAGATTATTGTTTTCGGGTAAAATATAACCGGTTTTATAGTAAATCTTGTGGTTTATATAAGATTATTGTTTCCGGGTAAAAGATAACCGGTTTTAAAGTAAATCTTGTGGTTTATATAAGATTATTGTTTTCGGGTAAAAGCTAACCGGTTTTATAGTAAATCTTGTGGTTTATAAGTTTTTGTTTAGATATGAGGGGAACCATCAGTTTGAGAAGAAAGAATTTAAAAATTCCATTAAGCTTTATACTCAGGGTAAGTAAACTAGAAAAAATAATAATTTTCTTAATTCAGAGAAACTTGTTATTTGATTTGATATGCGTTGTTATATATAGATATTGTTGTCCATTATAAAAACAAGCATTACGTCAGAAATTTCGGAAATGAGAAACAAGCTGAATTCCCAACTTTCATGGCTATTAATTTTCCTTAAAGAAAAGTCTTGCAAGCTTTGTTTAAAATTATGGTTCACGAATTTCTTAAATAAAAAGTATTTGTAATACTAAAAAGAGATTTTTATTCGAAAAAGATATTACTATAATTTATCCAGTAATACCCTGAAAATTCGGAAAGAGTAAGACGGTTTTTAGATTGATTACTTTTAATACTCCAATAATGAGCATTAGACTCAGCAATTGATCATTGCAAACAAAACCATTTCACTTAAATAGTTCTTTGATAAGTATTACGTAAAAATATTTACTTTGTATAAACATTAAATTAGTATTGGCTGTAATCATGTCTTCCTATTCCATTGTTTGCTGGTTATCACTATATGCATTCATTAAAACAGAATTAAATCAATTATTTTTTATTTTTTTAAGCGATTGCAAAATGTGGTCCCAACAATCCAGATCCTAAACTTTACAATAATAGGTAAATTACAGTCATAATCAGAAAGACCCGGAATTAATTGACAGTTAATCAAGGCGACTTCATATATACAGGTGGTCCCACATAATAATAGATCCTCAATCGGTCTAAATTGCGATTTCCGGGACTAATCAGAAAATTTAAGAAGAATGAATCATTTTGAAAAATTTAATAAGGCTAATATAAGAATTTTCTTGCGAAAAATACTAGTTTTTTCGAGTGCTATGGCTGTATTTTGGCGTTAAAGCTTGGAGATAATCTAATATGATATGGGACGCTCTGTATATATATTTATAGAAATGGCAGGACTAGGTCTACTGAGTGGTTATAGTTTCATGAATTATATTTGTAAAATTTGGTTGAAAGTTGTCTGATGAATTGTAATTTAATTCCGAGTCTTGCTGATTAGCACTTAATATTAAACTAAATTGGGAAACCAGCTTTTCCTATAAACTAAATTTACTTTTTATAAGGCAACCCACTCAACTTAGACATCCAAACAAACAGACAGAAAGACAGAGATTACTACTTAATGTATTTATAGATAAATTAAGTTGTGCTGAAATCTTTATTGTAATAATTATTGCACAAGACTTAAAGGGAAGGGACTGTAAAGGAAAAATGAAAGGGGGTATAGGCTGAAACCTGAGAATCTCAAGCGTCGAACGATACATACAAGACATCAATCTGATGTTCCTGTCTCGAGAAATTGATTTAAAACTGTGTCAAAATCAACGAAAATCTATATATGAAATTTTGTATTTGTATAAAAGTAGTAGGTTTAAATAGATCATATCCAGCAAATACGCAAACAATCTGAAAACAATTGTATCCCACAGTATAATTTTGTTAATTTTTAAAAATTTTAATAGATATAATTGATAATTGATTGATACAGACGGAAATCACGTGACCAGTATACTGCACTGCCATTGGCTTAAGTTCTGCTGACGTAGCACGGACTATTAGGACTTTACGTAATATTATTATCAATTATATCTATAAAAATGCAAAATGCAAATAAAATAATTATAACAGGAGAAAACCTGAGATTCTCGGTTTCTGTGGGATATTGTCGTTATCAGATTGGTTTCGTAATTGTGGAATATGATCTTTTTAATACTACAACTTTTATACAAAATTCTCGAGACAGAAACATCAGATAGATATCTTATATGTATCGTTCCTACGCCTAAGATTATCAGAATTCATCCTATTCCCCCTTTCATTTTTTCTTTACAGTCTCTTTAATAATTGAAATTTATGTTTTATCAAACNGAGGGAGGGGGTCTGAAAAGTGATTTCTTGTATCTGGATCCTCCAGGGGCACTAGAAATAAGATTACCTGGATTATGGAGGTTAAAAATGGTTAAATGGTTTACACAATTTTCAAAGTGTGGATCCGAATTCTAATAGTTAATTATTTTTTATTTGTTAGAGCTGCTGCATTCATGCAGGATGAAAACTTCCGCTGTGCGTACAATGACGCACTCAAATGCGTAGATTTTGATAAAAATAATGAAAAGGTAAACGGTTTTAACTAAGATTTTCCTTATTTTATTTCTTTCATTTTTCATCACTTTGTATTTTAAAGGCCCTGGTTCGGATTATCAAATGCTGCGTTGTTTTAGGTAAATTAAAAAAAAATAAAATTTTAACTAATGAGCACTTGCAACATTTTCATCTTTAATTTGATTGGTTTCAGGCTTTGTAGAAGAAGGACTAGCATATCTGGCAAGAACCCGTCTAGGAACATCAAATGGTCAATTAGAGAAGTTTGAAACCCAATTTTATCCTCAAATAATTCAATATTATTCTAACGTTTGTTAAGTTAGATTCATGGCTTCAATGGCTTCAGCATAATGGTGAAACTAACCAGAGCGGGGAATTTTTGCATTGAATACTCATAATTTTGATAGCTTAATCTCGATATCAAGTGCGGGCACTTAAAATTTGAGGATCGATGTCTTCATTTCAGTTATTCCTCGATCTATGGTTCGATTATCATGGGGGATATCATATAAAGATTAAATAATTGCAGATTAAGAAAAAGTCAAGCAGTGATCTCGATTCTTGATACCCACAATACAAGAGTTTACATAGGAAACGATAAAATGTTAACATAAAGTATGAAATTTCAATTATTTATTTGCACTGCTTCCTTAGTAGTATCTTTAATTGACCAGTGTGTGTCCTCTCAGATCCAAAAGAAGTTGCCGGATATCAGAAAAAAATGCAAACAATCTCTAAATATCGCCAGGTATAATATTTTACGCAAGTCTTAAGGAAAATTTAAGTTAATTCTTTATTATTTCTGTATTTGAAATGCAGTACACGAAATCAACTATACCAAAATATACCCTTCAAATGTAACAGATCCCTTACTATATCTAAATATATTTTGTATATTAAGGAATTCCTAAGATTGGCTGAAGCAGATGAATATGATTCAGCTGAAGTTTATGCGGATAAGGAACATTTTTAATTCATAAATAAAGCACAATTGACATACCTTATTTCAATACTGACGATTAGGCATAATATTTTTTGAGTTTTAATAATAAATATCTTTACCCCCCTACCCCTCCCCACATAATATATGCTTCATCAAAATTCTCTAAATATCAATCATGAGATTTAGGCTAAAAAATCTATGTTAATCGAGGACTGAAAATTTAAAATCAAAAGCAAACCTCTTTTTGACGAATAAGAAAATGGTTTGGCTAGGCCCTGAAGATCTGCTATCAGAGCGCTGAGTTCCGGGTGTACAAGGCCGCTATGCTCGCCTTACAGAAGAAGACTGCTAGTGCTCTAGAAGAACTCAAGAAACTGGATACTAAGGAACAATTCATTGGAATTCATGAGCTACAGATCTAAAATTTGATCTAACCCACATTTCTTTCCTTTTTGTCCACTTTCAGCGTGTCAAAAAAAGGAAAAAATTTAATTTTAGAGGGAGGGCAATACATTTTCTGGGATGAGCTCTGCAGCCATCTAGATTCAAGATGTGTATTTTGGTTTATAAAGAAAGAATCTCATAATAAAGTCCAGATATTATTGAAAACGTCGGGAAAACTGTTTAAAAAGTTTTTAAGGTAAAATATGTTGTGTTAAATTCAAAGGTTAAAGTAACGAATAAATGGGAAGTAGTTCGGCCCGGGTCGCCTGACCTAAAAAGTAAATTAAAAAGCACTAAGGTTTCTTTTTTTCAATAAGTTGATTCTTAGGATTCTTCTATAAAAACTTGCTGGTTCTATTTTGCGCAAGGTAAGGAAAAAAATTTAATTTAAATTAAGATTTTAACCGATTAATGTTTCCTCTGCATAGATCTAATTATCGCTTCCTCAGGATCTAATTGATGCTTCTTCTAGATCTAATTATGGCTTCTTCTAGATCTAATTAATATTTTCTCTAGATCTAATTAATGTCTCCTCTAGATCTAATTAATGTTTACTTTAGATCTAATTAATGTTTATTCTTGAACCTAGATCTAATTATTCTCTAGATCTAATCAATGTTTCCTCTAGATTTATTTAATGTTTACTCTAGATCTAATTAATATTTCCTCTAGATCTAATTAATGTTTCCTCTAGATCTAATTAATGTTTCCTCTAGATCTCATAAATAGTTTCTCTAGTAGATCTAATTAATGTTTACTTTAGATCTAATTAATGTTTATTCTAGAATCTAGATATAATTATTCTTTAGATCTAATCAATGTTTCCTATAGATCTATTTAACGTTTCATCTAGATCTAAATAATGTTTCCTAAAGATATAATTAATGTTTACTCTAGATCTAATAAATATTTTCTCTAGATCTAATTTCAATGTTCTCTAGATCTAATTTCAATGTTCTCTCTAGATATAATTAATGTTTACTATAGATCTAATTAATGTTTCTCTAGATCTAATAAATTGTTCATCTAGTCTCTAAATATAACAAATGGTTCCTCTAGATCTAATTAATTTTTCCATTAGATCTAATTTTTCCTCTAGATCTAATTAATTTTTACTCTACATCTAATTAATTTTTACTCTAGATCTAATTTATATTTCCTCTAGATCTATTAATGTTTCCAATAATTAATGTTTGCCCTAGATCTAATTAATGTTTGCTCTAGATCTAATTAATGTTTCCTCTAGATCTAATGAATGTATTTTCTAAATCTATTTAATTTAAAAACCTGAAATACAAAATTTCAGACTTCTGTGACCTCTGGTCACTGAGTTATGTTCTCCTAAAGTTACGGCCTCGAGGCAACCTTCTGCCCGACCCCGCATCCTTTATTTGGCCAGAAATATTCTAAAGGAAACTAATGTTTTACTAGTTTACATAGTATATGATCAAAATTGTATTTTTATTTTTAGCTTCTATTTTTTTTACGAGTCCATCCTCTAATATTCGCATAACTTTTCTTTATAGATTCACTGTACACTGCGTTTCAATTTTTGTTTTTTAATGTTTAAAGGGAAAAGAAAAAATGTTTAAAAAAGGTTTTACAAAAAGTTGACTCCTTTTGATTTAAAGCACAATCACAATAATTAAACATCGAAATAATATTTTGCAAAATATACGCAAAAAACTGGAAAATATGTAAAACAACTAGTTAAAAATCGCTTTGAAATTATCTTGATATCTTAATTAACAGTTCTGTGCAATTCGAGTATGCAAGGTCGAGCCGAAAATTGCCTTGAGACCGGACCTTTAGGAGGAGATAACGAAATAACCAGAGGTTTTGGATTCAATCATTTAATGTTATCTCACAAAAGGCAATATTTCAAGAAATTAGAAAATTCATGACAGATTTTCATGATGTCCAAAAAAAGGCTGAATTCACAAAGAATAACCATAATTATTTCCTTCAGGTCTAATTAACTTTTATGAAAATGATCTAAACCGTGCTCTATCTGGGTTTGGTGAAGCTAAGCGTGAGCTGAAGCAAGCTGAGAACTGGCATGAAAAGGTAAATCTTCATTGACTATTGAGATGGAAAGCTTTTTCATTTTAGACAAGATTTAAGGCACACCAGTTTGCATTTGCCTGAAATTCCAAAATCCTTAAACGTTTTTGGCCGCAGAGATTGAAGTTCTAGGCACCTAGACCCAGAAATTGTTTTAAAGCAAACCAAAATATCGTCTTAACAAAATCTAATTCAGAATTATGTAACTTTGGGAAAATGTCTTATCGAGCATTTGAAGTTTGAGTATCTAGTTGTAACCTAAATTCACTTTGTATCTATAAAAAAAGCTTTATATACAAACTAAACTTCATGGTGGCCAAAATGTACGGATTGTACGGATTTTTTATTTTGTAACCCTAAAATTGTACGGATTGTACGGATTTTTTTTCTTCAAATTGTACGGATTGTACGGATTTTTATCCTGGAAATACACCGTTTTTGTTTTAATTTTCACTCATTTCAGCAAGTTTTTCATGAAAATTTCAAAAAAAA